TAAACAACATACAGAACTACCAAATTTTGCTATAAGTTTGACTGCATCATAATAATTGCTGTTAACAGTGTTCATCGTCTGTTTGATTACGTCTTTAATGTATTTTTCTGTACATTTCTGCCATATGTACATTAACTAACAGTCACCACTGATAAGCTACTACTAAATATATTGTAGAAACGTAATTTTCTGTAAAGTTGCTTTGCAACGATTTGTATCGTGAAAATCACTATACAAATAAACTTGAATTGAATTGAAAATAATTTGAATATTAACCATGCATACATGTATAAAAAACAAAACATTTGAACACTGCACAATTTAAAAAATATATTATTTAGATAAATCTGCAAAAAAAATTCATATTTTACGTTCACCCATTCAACACCCCATAATCAGGTCGCCGTGATTTTCCCAAGTAAGACATGTTCCTGGATCAACATCTTTTGTTGATCCTGGATGAGCATAACTGTCCAAAAATATAGACTTAACACAATCCCTACCCCTAAACCTAACCCTACCCATAATTTATTCCTAAAAACAGTGTGAAATGATAGCTGATTACCAAGGAAGTAGAAGCACCTAACCCTGATTGTAAGCCTAAAACAGATATTTCCTGAAAAGTTATCCCTCAATTCTGATTGGTTGATAGGAATGTTGTTCCAGGATCAACAAGGATGTTGATCCAGGAACATGTTGTACTTTGTGAAATCACGGTCACCGAACAGACTCCAAAACGATTGACAAACCTATTCTAGAAGTAGCACCTTATGGCCTGTTCACACCAGGGATGATAATTATAACTGGTAAAATAAAACTTTTTTTTTTAAATCGTTCTAAATTTCTAAAAATTGCAGAGTCCACACCACAACTATAATGATTGTAGCACAGAGAAACTAATGCCTTGTCCAAATACACACACTTGTGGTCTTTGCACTTGACCAATTGACTACTTATATGACGTATTTCCTTTATTTGGCCCTAGTGTTCAAGTGAGCATGAAGACCACAATGTGTGTAGAACCTTTCATTACCTGATGGGCAGTGTTGGGGAGTAACTAGTTACATGTAACGGAATTACGTAATTTAATTACAAAATAAAAGTAATTGTAATCAGTTACAGTTACTAAGAAAAAATGTGTAATTAAATTACAGTTAGTTCCTAGCCATATCGGCCTAGAAAATCGCAACTTTTCATTTTCCGTCGGTCTTAGTACACGATGTAACTAGAGAAGAGTCAAGTTTTAAATAGGAAAAATATCGAAACTCTTTGGTCATTTTTGAGCGAGATGCTAACGGTCTAATCAGATTCAATGATCTATGCTAAGCTGCAGCTAAAAGTGCTACCGCCAGACCCAGAGATCGGCTGAATGGATTCGAAAACGGTAAAACTCAACTGTTTAACTCTAGGGGAGTTGGGAAATGAGCCTATTTTCAAAAATAGTGGAGTGTTACTTTAAGGGATCTAGAATATGGTCATTCAGAAGGCATTAATATGTGCTTTATAAGTACTAATAAACAGCCAATATGCTAATAATATGCATGCTAATAAAAAACTAATGAATAGTTTTCTCTAAAGTGTTACTAAACTAAACTAAAGTGTTATTTTTCACATCCATCAACATTTGATTTGAATATCAGAAGTAAACAGGCACTGATATTTCATTTCAGTGCAGAATAGATAATCACCACTCATTTATTCTTTATTATGTTTGAAATGACCCTGTAATTGGCTCCTCTGGAGCTTGCAGAAGTCACAGCATCCAGTCGCGCGTCTGAGAAGACTTGAACGAGTCTCGGTCTGTCTGAGTTAATTAATACAATATCCAAGCTAATAGGAGAACACACTGTCAGTTCATATTCTCATAACACATGAATAAAATATGGTGACATTTACTGACCCCACCACAAGAGAGGCAAGCGTAGAGTAAACAGACACATAGTCACCAGAGCTTGTGGAATAGTGTGTATTGCAGGTAATTAGAGCAAACACACTCCAGCCGTGCTGTGGTAGGACTGAGTGAGTAGTAATCGTGACTAGAGATGATGGTCTCATTTGTCGTTATAAAGGTTTGTGTTGAGCTTATAGGAGTTTCTTGGCTCCTGAGGAGCATCCTTATTCTCACAATCAGTGTTTGGGATTGCCGACCACATTGTCCGGTACATAAAACATCACACACAAGTGGACTGAATACTCTCTGTATGGACAGGTAACTAAAGTTATTCCCAATTTCTAACTTGTGATTGCCTTTACTAATATTTCTGACAGATAATGATAGTAAACCAACACTTTGTATTGCATCTTTAAAGTAGGCCTAATGGTTCACCCAAGAAATGAAAATGTTGTCAACTTGCGTTACTGAGATTGTAACGAGTAATAATATTACCCAAATTTGATTAGTAATGCGTTATATTACTGCGTTACAGCAAAAAGTAATATACTACTGTAATATTATTACTTTTGTAATGCGTTACTCCCAACACTGATGATAGGGCCCTTAATGTGTTAAGGGCACTGCGCTTTGGTGTTTTTAAGACCTGGGACAGTCTTGCGCACTTACTTCCTGTCGCTTGCAAACGCTCTCAAAACTGTTTTTTGGAGTTTTTGTCTACTGAATGTTTTTTCGGTAAGAATTTCGTTAGAAGAACATTCGGTATGTTGTTAAACAGTACAATCCATTAACGCACTCGATTTCCTTCCTGTCAAAAATTAAATATGGTGGTAACCTGACTAAGGTGTGAATGGGCCTTTAACCAGTTATCTGCAATCAATTGCAGTGAATTTCAGTGTGTTTAAGTGTGTAATTCAAAGAGAAAAGGAAAAATGAAAGTGGATGGTTCAAGCAGAAATAATTTAACTTTGTTTCCTCATGCAGACAGATCAACAGCTGGCCTGCTCTAAATGGATTGTAGGAGATTTGATACAATATCTGGGGATAATTCACGAGCCAGTTAAAACACTGTTCCCTGACATCTTTCCCACAGAGGTTTGTGGCTTCAATTTGTTGTTTTCTCTCTGAAGTCTGTGTCTTCTCTCAGTAAGTGGTGATTTGTTTCTGCGCCAGAATGTGTTTTGACGATCGCGTACGGCACTTTGTTCCACAACTGTGAGGCTCACGTTCAGGTCGTGCTGATTGTTTTCATATTTGAGGGAAGCAGGAAATTTCCTGACCCCGACCAGGGTGTAGATCGTTCTGCTTATCCAAAGAAACCGCTTCTCTTCTTTGCAAATTGCAGCTGTAATTGCAGCGGAAAAGATAACAAATCTGAGCTTCTACAAATCCTGACGCTTGCATGTTAGAGGGCCACAGGAAAAGTGTTTAAGCCCATGGGGATTTCCACTTAATGCAACGGGAACTCCACTGCCATGTTGCTGACTTCTGCGTAACCGAAAAGAGCAAGACGGCAAAAGATGTCAGTTTCGAAACGCTGCTATTTATAGCATCTCAACTCCATTAGGATTAAGACTGGATTTTTAATTAAAGTTCAGTGCCTTGCTACTTCCCTCTGAGTCAGTGTTTGCTAGGTGAACAGAAGGCTAGAAGAGATGATGGAGTAGCGCTATAAACCATTATCAGAGCACAGAATCTTGATATTTACTTTGATTAACATCCTCCTTTAAAATCCCATCACGTTGCAATTTATTGCCCCAGAATATCTCCTGGTTTCATTGGAGGATGTGGGTCAAAGCGGAAATGAATTTTAAAAACTGCAATAATAAAAGTATTGAGATGTTTATTTCTCTCATTGCCTTTTGAAAGATGATTACTAATTTTACTTTGAGAGCGTTTTTTACATGCACTGGAAAAATGGCCTGTAAGAAACTGCTAGTAAATTTCACAAATAATTACAAAGAAACGCAATTATCATTGCATTTAATGTGAAATTAATCCTTATTTTATTTACTTATTTACTAATTTTTACAGTGTACAGTTCAATGCCAATTCACACATTCCCCAAATTAAAGAGATGCATTTTATTGGAAAAAATAATAATGCATTTTAAACAATATACATTTTTTTTTTAGCAAGAATCAAAGTACTGAATAGTTTAACTCTGCAAGGAAACCTTGAAAACATATTTTCAATACTAATGTCTTCTGTAAAATTTCAATATTATAGTCTAAAACTATAATTGTTACCGGTTGGAAAGGTTTCTAGGGAAAAAAATGTATTCAGACTCATGAAAGGATGAGGATGTTTTAAATAACGTGTAAATGGCAGGTTAAAAGTGACTGATGGGAACCTTTCATTATAAAGTTTGCTTTGATCTGTCGGTTTTTGTGCACTCTTGGGCATGAAACATTTGTATTTGTGTTCAGTCAACAGATGACACGTCAAACAAAAGAACAGAAGAGGAAAATGGTAATAATAAAAAGTATTAAGAGAATGGGATCTTCAAAGAGGAAACATTTTAATGATTAAAGAGCACAAAAAAAAACAGATAGCCAAATATTCCTTTATTTATACAAATGGCAGTTCTTGTGAACTTTGTTGCATATGTTTGTATGCTTTTATGAGTTCATGTTCCTAGTGCATCTATGTGACAACTTGCCCCATTTAGTGTGGCAAAATGTCCTGCTATTGGGGCCTGCTGTCACAAAAGATCACCATGTTTTAAATGGACTTTATTTTTTTCCCCAGGGCAGTAATGGTGGAAATGTTCAATAGGCTTTTTTTTCTTCTTTTTTTTCTAGTCAAGGCCAAAGTAACCTACCTGAATATATTGGTACGCTGTAATGATGACAAAGTTTGGAAAGGAAACATTAACTTTTTTTTTTAACTTACACTACCTTTGACTCTTCTTATGGGGTTTGAGAGCAAGGAGAGATGCTGCAAAAGAAATGCATCATAATGACATTTAAATGATATTTGGTCAAAGGCAATCCATTAAAGCAAATGGGAAAAAGAGATGAGTAAATATGCATGTTTACATTTTGTGCTATTGAATAACTGTCATCCTTGGAAATGAATTATAAGAGGTGCAGTTTTTAGTCAATGAGCAAATGTTTTTGTTCCTCTGTGAAACACTGTCAGATGACTTTATGTGTGCAACTGCTGGAAAAGCAAAGTTCACTGAGAGGAATATTCCTTTGTGTTGTACAGATGTTTAATTGAACACGGGCTTTTAAAGTAATGACTTCCCGTAATAATTAAGAATAGTTGCATATGTAATTGAACTGCTGGTGTGAGACTGCCAAGTTGATAACGACAGAATAATCCAGTGTCTCTACAGCCTCAAGTGCTTCCCATCTGCGTTCATTTTACCTCTCACAGGCAGCTTATACAAACACACAAAAACTAATTTACAAAGGAATGCAGTAAATTAATGCTTTAAGCAATTGCAATTTCAAATGAATTAACCACTGACCAATAGGAAGCACCAGTGGCAATATTGTTGTGGCAGGCATATTAGATTAATTTAGTGCTTTTGTGTGTGAGAGGAATAGCTGGAAGCGAAAGGGGATGTTGTTACCAGTCTGAAGATAATGAGAAATAAACAGTTTTGGCATATTTGTGTAAAATGTCAAATATAATCAGAAATCTGTGGCATCTCTGCTCAATTAAACACTGCAGATCACTGACTTAATCAGAATTTAATCATAAATGTAACTAAAATTAATTGAGGACTATGCTTAAAAAATTAAAATTAAAAATAAACTTAAATCAAGATTCATTTATATTATTCAAACACATCATCTAATCAAAAGATCTCTAATGCTTACAAAAAGCTGCATATATTTGATCAAATATACAGTAAAACATTAATATTGTCAAATATTATTACAATTAATATTGGAATTTTTTTCTGTATACTGCACATTTAAAAAAAAAAATGTTCAGAAATGCATTTATCATGAATGTACTATAGCAGTCCTATCGTCAAATACATGCAACATAATGCAACAAATAACTGCACACATACAGTACAGTATTATGCTATTGTTACTGGCCACACTAATAGCTTCCATGAACACATAAATGTAGTTCCCTAAGTAAGAGCACTCGCACCCTTTAAACATACAATAAGCATCTGGCATTGTTCACTCTCTCTCTCTCTCTCTCTCTCAGTATTGATCAGTCCTTTTCTCCAAGCGATGCTAATTGATTTTCTTGCCTTTTAAGTCTGCTTAATGGCAACCTCCATTCACAGAGCTCCATCTCAGGGTAAATCAGGGCCGTTCCTCATGCTGAAGCATCTATTCTTCTGGAAGTTTGGGTGAGTAGAAATGGACCACACTTTTATTAAAACATTGCTTTTTGATTAATCACATATAGATTTTCTTGAAGCAATGCAATGATGTCATATACCTTAAATGCTGGTTCTTTTCAGCAGCAAAATAAATCAGAACACAACTGGAGGAAAATATTAGTTTTTCAAATCCCAGAGAAAAAAAGTTGCCCCTCATTACCATTATTTAAATTTTGGCTTTCAATCAGCTTTATTTTAAGTCATATTTTATGTTGTGTTTCAGGTGTTTCTCCAAAATTCTTTGGGAACAATATTCTTGCACAATATACAAGCAGAAATAATAAATTAAAGATAAAAGAGTAAAAAAAAATCTGTTATGAACAGATTTTTTAGGTACCAGCTGTATACAGTATTCATTTGGGCTTTGAAAGATGTGATAAGAAATGCTCATATTAAGACCTAGACTTCTTTTTGGTGACTTTGGAAACTTAGCAAATATGAGCATGTTTATTAAATTAAAAAGTCTCTTTTTGTTGTTGTTGTTGTGGTTTAACCCTACTGACCATGAATCTGAAATACCCTATTCCGTTCAGCTCTTCTGTTCCTTGAGTGCTCCAGCTTTAATGCCATGTTGATAAGACTTATCTCTAAAGTGCTTCTGTCAGTGGTTGTTGCTCCATCCTTACTAAAAAGAAGTTTATTCAAGTGTGCTATTAGTATACTTCTTTTAAACTAAAAAATAAGAAAGTATACTTTCAGTCTACTTTTTATGTACTTCTCTGAAATGTACTTTAGGTACTTCTCAGAAACATACTTAAAATTGCACTTAAGTATACTTGACTTATACTGACAGAAAAGTCTAAGTATATTTGGCCTATACTTGTTTATTGACATATACTTAAAAGTATAATTATGTATTCTAAGTATACTTGGCTTTTAGTTCTTTTTACACTTTTGATTGAGTGGCCTAATAAATATTTTTTTCTCATAATATTACATTCGGTCTTATAAACTTACCTGTTCAAGTTCATATACTGTAGTAACAAGCTTTGGGGTGGAATAGATTTTAGAGTAATTGAAATACATGGAACTGAAGCTGATCTACTTTGTACAAAGCAATAATAACCCACACAGAAACAGATACATTTTTACTGATTTTATTGGCCAATCTTTCAAGATGTAACAGTATTGTAACAGACTTGATTCATACTGGTTTCTATAATAAGCTATACCAGCACATAAAATTTCATTTAAAAAAATCTCATTACAAAACATCAAGCCAAACAGGAAAAGGAGCAAGTCTAACATAAATACATAATACAACACTGGTTAATATGACTAATGACTGCTTTTTTAGTCCCGTTCATATGGATTTGGCAAAGGTGTAATGTACAAATTGTCAGCTGTTTCAACAACAACACATTTCATTCTTATCATACCAGGCCAGATGGCACTGATGGTTCAAGTCTTCCTAACCTCATGCACAAAAGTACTCTGTACATTTATTTGTGAATCTTTACATAAAGGGCTGCTAGATTTAACAAGTACCTCACTAAAGCGCAGCAGTGTTTGGTACATTCACAATATGCAGGGCTTTGATGCACACATATTTGTTTAAAAATGACTAAGTCATTAATTAAAGAGAATGTACCATCGTTCAAGTATACAGCACTGTTGTATCTTTTCTTAAGTCGGCCATATTTTTGAGTGTGATATAGAACTCCATAAACCAAGAAACGTTTGTAAGACCAGAAGCAGTTACTTACATTTCCACATAACTTAACAATGGCAAGCCTATATGCAGTTGTGATGTTATCCTGCATTGGGGGACGACCAACAACCCTGACATTGTCATTTAATATTTCACATTTATCTGTTCTTCGCTTATTAAAATAAAGTTCTTTAACAAATGACTGAACCTTTGCACTCGTATGTTTGGCCTTTTCTGGCAATTCTCTCCACAACAGAAATTTTCTAGCTATTTGTGAAGAGACATTCTGTGTTCCATTAAAATACTTCAATAGAGTGCCCATATTTGATTCAAATGGAAAGGCTGACGTAGCCCATAATGGTCCCCACTGTTTCACACTTTGTGCAACATGTGTGAGCAAATGTATGTTGAAAGTCATGTGGTTTCCCCCATAAATTCTTTGAAATTCAATGACAAATTTTTTAAGAGCCAGTTCTGACAACAAGATGCTTCTAGTCTTGATCTTATCCTGCAGTAATTTATATATACCAAACACCAATAGAAACAAATGATTCCAAAATCTCCCAGGTAGTATGCCTTTCAATACAGGAAGAGCACAGAATAGGAGAAATGCTCTCCATTCTGAAGCTTTCCAGAACTTCCTTTCATTCACTGACCTTGGTGTCCTAGTTATCTCAAATTGGGGTTTTATTTTTGCAAGTCGCATATCAACCTCTTCTATCGGTTTGCCAATGTACCAGGTGGCTTCACTGTTTGCTGAATCAAACCACAATGTGGACAGTTGCCGAGTGACTCCAAGGCACACATTGTGTTGATATTCAGGAATAAAACCATTTATCATTTGGAAATGACTAAGCTTCATTAAAGGAGATGGCCCTTTGACTCCAAACACTGGCTCATTATCTGAAGCTGACATTGCATGACTAAAATGATCTCTTTCATTTCGAAGTGGGGGTTCAGGTTGATCATATATATAGATAGGATTTACCACCTTTGTGATAACAAAAGTCACAACCATAAAAACCATTAAATTGCTTTGTGTTACGAAGCATCGGACGAGCCATCGAATCAGAGCTACAAACCACTACAAACACTTTAGAAACATGCCAGTTTCCCTGTGTATCTTGCCAGTCAACACCTTCAGTCTCTAATAATAAGGCTTCTTTAACAAATGGTGTTAGTAATGTTAACATAGATGGTTTACTTGGCCCAAACCATAATGCTGACATTAAAATGTGACTTGTCCTCTCTTCTGGTTCCAGTTCAATTACCTGACACTGAATTGGCCAAATGCAGAATTTAGAACTTTTGAACACTGGTGCACCATCACAATTCCAAATTAGCGTCAAATCATCTTTTCCAATAACTCCTCTGTCACATAACATTTGATACTCTTCACCAGACTGTATGTCTGAGAGAACCCCACAGGTTCTATTTTTTTCATTAAGATTGACACCATATTCTTGCAAAAGTTGCTGAATCTGTGCATGCAGGGGCAACACAAGAAAATAGAATCCATTCTTAAAGTTTGCATTGGCATCAAATTCTGTATTGCAAGAGTCACACTGAGAGGGACAATCTGCTCTAACACCAAGGTATTTTAAACAACTTTCACAATAAAAGTGTACTTCAAATTTAGATGAACTTCCAAAATCTTTGTGGAAAAGGTCATGTGAAGATGGGATCAGACCTGGAAACATTATGTTAAACATTTCCAGTAAGTGCTTTGCCTGTTAAATTATGCCGTAAGAGATAGGACATCAACATCAACACACTTTCTCCCTTTGAAAGAGGTGCACCAGGATACAAGGGCTTGTCACCAGTAACTGTATCTTCAATTCCCTAGAAGGAGAGAGAGAGAGAAAAAGAGAGAGAGATTTAAAAATGTGAGCAGCAACAGAATAATCAAGAATATCAGTCCAGCTTTCTTTCTTTCTTTCTAGCATATTTTCTAAAAAATATTTACCCTGGATAATCACAAAATGGCTAATAACTTCATCATATCCTACAGAGCTGCAAACCAAAAAGAACAGAGTTGCTACCTGTGTGCATGTCTATGTGTTCAAGTTTGGTACATTCTTGAATTTCAGAATTGCCGAAATGAGTCCTAATGGTGTCTATATATATATAGTGCTTGTAGACTTGTATCTGTCCATTGTATTTGTCCATTCCATGTTGTGGCAAAACAGGTATTGTGGCATAATTTTAGCCAGTGTTGGGCAGTAAATAGTTACTAGTAACTACTCACAGTAATAATATTACTTTTTAACTAGTAGTGTAACTGATTACTAATAATAATTACAAATTACTAATAATAATTCAATAATAATATTACAGTTACCATTCATAAAACAGCTCGTTACTTAGTTACTTTTGATTCCTCAACCCCTACTGATTTGATACTAATCCAACAATCTAATAATTCCTAGATTTATTTTCATAATTGTCATGACTTGCTCAGGCACATGAAGTCACCAGAGCAGCAGGCAAGCTTGGAATATGGAAAAGCTTACATTCAACAGAGGGAAATATTGCCATTACATTGATTTTGTTAGGAGAAAAGATGATCTGAACACTGTTGTGCAAGTTGTGGCTTTACTTTACCCTGGCATTACATCCCACCCATATCCCTCTGATCCCGATGTAAATTATATTACTAGAATTAAAAATCTTTTTGGAAAATGAAACATTTTCTTTCGAAATTGTGATTTCTTTTGAAAAAATACATCATGCAATATAAGTCGGAGAAATTATAGCTACAATTTGCTTCAAGCTACACATGACAATTACTGAGATTAATACACACGTCACTATCGCTATCACCATTGAGTGTGTGTAATAACTTCTGACTGCAATCCAATGTGGATTTTGATGAAATGATGAGGCACAAATATGTTGTTACTAACATTTTAGAAGTGCTTCATGTGGAAGATATGCAATTACAACTTCTGTGGGGCGTGAAAGGAACATAATATAGCTAGTGCTGTAACTAATTATTGTTGCCAGAAAGTGAGTAATAAATTAAATTTTTTTGAGTAACTAACCCAACACTGTTTTTAAACACAAGTGGATTATACAAATATAAATAAGTTCCCTTTTTTGTACAATCAATTATTTTGGCATTACCTCTACTGAATGTTGTCACAGAACTGCTATTTTGGCTTAATCCATAATACAATGTCTTTGTCCATTGTGTTTATTTATATAGGCTACTAAATGTGTTACTTTGAGACTTTTTTGCTGTACTGTGAAAGAGAATGGATGGATATGTTACAGTTGTTGTAAATTTAAGTAATTACTGCCATCTCAGTGCAGTACTAATGACACATTGCTGTACCATTACAGCTAAATTTAACCCATGAGTTTGTTACTTTTAAGAACATTTCATTTTGTGCCCAGTTAACAATAAAATTTGAAATAAATATTCAGAATTTTACGAGGTTGGTGGAGTCTGACATTAGAATGCCTCACACTATTACATGCTTCCTCAATGATGCAACTAAACTATCATTTAAGGGAAAAAACTAATTGCAGTTCATATAAACTCTGGTTTCCGGTTCTTCAAATCTGTGTCTGTGAACCTACTATACCAAAATGTATTTAAAATACATTGGTTTCATAATAAGTACACTACAAATTCATTAACATATTTGACATATCGCTTGAGACTTACTGATATAAACATTAATTAAATGTCTTAATATTAATCATAAACTGTGTTTTAATATAACTATTTTTAAGGATAGTATGATCTCTGTATAACATCAGTCTTTAAATGCAAGATATTTAAAGTGTACCCAAAGTATACTTGCAATAGCTCAATCTTAGCACAATTAAATATACTTAAGTACATTTTTTGTTGGAATTCAACAATATCTATGGTGCATTACAAATGTAGTTGTTCCAATTTAGCAAACTTTAAGTATAACAGTTTAGTGTAGACTACCTAAAGTTAAATTGCAGAGTATGTAGATTAAGTACTGTAAATAAATATGTAAATGTATTTGTAGTATACTACGGATAAAATAAATGCATTTCAAATACATTTTGGTACATTTATTTTTCACTAGGGTACAAAATCACTTATTTTATCTAATTGGCTCCTTTATGTGAATTATTACACTAACAGACATACTGTGTCACTGAACCATTTACTACATACCACTGATAATTCAGATGCTTTTTCTCAACTAGTACTGTCCTCCATCAAGTCTTCACTGTCCACATTGTTTTCATCTTCAGTATCAAGCATATTCCCTCGTCATTCTACAGGTTAACATGTAAAAATATGACTTGAAATTAAATCAATGAATGAATAGGGTACACATCTATTTAACCAGAGATAAGAAATGTGTGATGTATGGATAATTGTGTATTTACCTCTTGAATGTCAGCAAACAACAGGCTAGTTGCTGAGGAGTTTTCATTGTCCACTTGATAATCTTCCTCTTCACTGTTGGAAGCATTATTCATGATAGCTTCAGCATTTATTCTGCCATCTTTCTTTCTTGTTTTAAATGTTACCAATGGAAACATAATGAATAATTGAATGAATGAAAGAATGTCACTGAATTATTAGATTGGTGCATGTTAAGATAATTCAAATTTGATTTAATTTTTATTTGACTGTACTCAGCGGTCGAATTGTAAATAAATTTCAGGGGGGATGTCCAAGACAGTTGACCCTGAGAGGTCAAGTAAATATCTACAGCGGATCTAAATATTCATAATTAATTATAACTAGTTATGATTAATTATTCATATTTCCTCATGAGCTGATTCGTTACACTGTTTTAATAAATTATTTATTGAATCATTCAAATCAATTCGATTCGATTTGAACGTGCATATTGTGCATGCAAAGCTGACATTTTGGCATGATGGTGAGACTGGACAAAAGGCTATATGGTCAACAGAGTTGACAGATCATCCTCTGAAGAGCAAGAATGTGCTCACCAAAAGTCATGGCAACTGGCCCAGCATATTTGGAGACGTAAACGGGGCTAAAATTGTGTATTTACCTCTTGAATGTCAGCACACAATAGGCTGGTTGTGGAGGATTTTCCCTTGTCCACTTTATATGGTCCTCTGCTGGACCCATTAGTCATGATGTCTTCTGTGCTTGCATCATTATTGTCATTCTATTAAAAAAAAGTGGGAAGGGTGATAGGTATCCACAAACTGGATAGTTAAATAAAATTGGAATAAAAGTCATCAAATGAAATTAATTATTATAATTGGTTCTAAAAATTAATTAGAATCAGTGTTGTTGCACATCCCATATGAACATTAGTTTGAAACAGCCTATGACTGAAATATAGGCTACTTTTGATTGTAACACATACATGCATTTCATGCAATTTTAGATTGATAGTTGTTGACATTTACAAAGTAAAATCAATTAAAAAGTAAAAAAAAAAAAAAACGTAGTGGAAATACATTTGCTGGTGTTGTGCCAAATTTTATTAGATAACGTTGGTGCGGGCAAATGAATGTAATATGTTTGTGGTGCCCTCTCCTTTTTATTTTATTTTATTTATTTTTATGTAGTTATTGCTTCCTTATGTGGATAAACATTATTATTTTTTTAATTTGTTGAGAATTGACTTGTAGTTGTGAAATTCAATAAAAAAAAAACGAATAAAGAAAGAAATAAAGTTCCGCCAGGACACATAGCCTATACATGTTTGCAATAGGCTGTCATGTACAGTAAATGACTGATGATCACGTAGAACGAGCCTTAAACAAATTTCAGTCTGCAAGAAATAGTGAAATGTAAAGTTTAACTGAACTGAATACTCCACTTTAGGGGTATGGTGTCCCATGAGCATTGATCCTTAAGGACATTTTTTTCTTTAAATCATATTGCCAACTGCATACTTTTTGGCAGAAGTGTGTATTTTTATGGAATTTTAATACTTCAACCTCATTACCTTTCCTAAATCTGTTTAACATTATGTACACAAAATAGTAACACCTAGGGCCTTAAGGACAAAAATGTCTCAAGTGAAACCCATTAAAACTTACATTTTTAATCGAGGTTCATTTAACTGATATGATGCAGTATCTGCCGGCTTTCCTTCTGTTGGCAAGGCTTCAAAATTAATATTTTTTACTATTCTTTACTAAATAGCATAATTTTCTCAGGTTTGTATGCGTGTACTAAATTGTGTGCGTAATACAAATTACAGAAATAATAGCCTACTGTACTGCAAATAACTAATCCTGACACTGTGTGTACCAGTGAAGATTTGTTGGCATCTAATGGCTAAAGTTTGGTATTGTGCCCAAATGAAAACTTACATGAAAACTAATTTTTTGAGGTATCAACTTCAAATTTAGAACACAATTCGTTTAGATTTATGGCTTTCAGCACATCACATTAAGCACATTACATTTATGCTGGTGATTTCTGGCTATGGAAAATGTTTGCCGAGAAAACTGTGACTGTACACACAAAGGCAAGAGGTTTCCAGTGGGGCAGTATCAATGTTTACTGGCAAAATTATACTGCCTTCTGCGGCTCCACTGTACAGGAGACATTTCTGGCTGTGAAGTGTGTTTGATGATATAATTGTGACTAAATATATTCACAAAATATTAAATATTGTAAAATATTACTACAATTCAAAATAATATAATTTAATGTCTTTTAGATATAATTTATTCCTGTGATCAAAGCTGAATTTTCAGCATAATTACTCCAGTCTTCAGTGTCACATGATCTTCAGAAATCATTCTAATGTGCTGATTTGCTGCTAAGAAACATTTATTATTATTAATGTTGGAACAAAAGTCGTGCAATGATACATTTGTCTTTCATGATTCTTAAATAGAAAGTTTTTTTGCTGTCACTTATGATAAATTTAATGTAGGCTTCTGACATTTATTTTAATGTACATATATAGAAAACATTTCACAAGAAATACTATATCTATTGTCAGAAATAAAATGTTAGTTTAGGTTAATTATTAACTTATTGGCTGACAATTGCCAAAGACCCATAACATTTATTCAATGTGCTCGTTATTTCACTTATATTGCATATAGGCCTACACAAGGATCATGTTATTTACAGCCAAATATTAGATTACAAGATCCATGGCTGAACGTTCGATGTTGTCGTGGTGTAACTTGGGTGGAAAAGATTTGGTTACAAAAAGCTTTAAAGAGCAAACATCGCTGACCTTTGTTTAATTATTTAATCGTCATTATTTTTTAATTGCTTTAAAAATACAATTCCGTATATGTTCTCAAGACATTTAGCATACAATGTTTATCCACATGAGGACGGAATATCTAAAAAAAATAAAAATACAATTAAATGAAAAGTAAAGGGCAACACAAACCAATGCCACCGATGCCAACGCGCATGCACTGAGTCGGTCGAAATTCGCCACAACACTGGTTAGCTTCATTAATACTATAATAATAATAATAATAATAATAATAATAATGTTTTACCATAATGTAATTTGCATTCCATCTGAACTTGGTTCTCCATTCTTTCTGTGCCGTCCTCCAAGTACCTTTTGTAAGGTCCAGAACGTTTTGCCATTATTTACGTTGCAAGCACCTGCTATCAACAAAATGTTCATGGAATCTCCGATAAAAAAATAAAAAAACATCGGAGCAGTGACCGTCTGTCGCGATATTTGGTCATGTGATACGTTCGCGCACACCTGATTCTGTGCTCTTGCCTAATTAACACCACGGTTGTTAGGTTAACATTTAGGATCAACCACCAGAAAATAATAAATAAAAGAAAGAAACAAACAAACACCGTAATTATCAGTGACAACAATTTAACAATGGCATTTGCCATATATTATTTCAAAGACAAAACCATGGAAGTAGGTAAAATTGACTAGATGAGTACCGAAGACCAGCAGACATTTTCAAAAATCAACCCAGTCTCATGGCAAATACGTACCTGGGGGCACATTTTTGCAAGACGCGAAATACGTACCAATAAGTACATATCACTGCAGTTTCCAAAAAAATGAACACTAGAGGCAGTAAATATCCGACACCTTTTAAATTATTTTCACACAGAGTATGATTTACAGAGTTTCGATTAATAAAGCGTAATTTTCGCACAATTACTTGAAGAGTATTATGTTGTGACTTCAAAACATTTTTAATATGCTGGGAGATTTGAAAACTGATGCTTTTGAACGTTAGCACCGCACATATCCAGCTTCATATCAATGGGATTTCATAGACGGTAGGTTGTTCGGTAGCTCACGGAGCAGTGTTGCCAACTAATTTTCAGGGGAAGTTGCTAAAGGAAGGTTGATTTGTTGCTAAAAGTTGCTAAATGACGCGATGTCATTGCGCGGTGACGTCATTGCGTAATCACGATGCAAAATTGTCACTGCATCAAATCTCAGCAAAAAAAATTTTTTT